CAGTTGAAGCATTCCCATAGAGGCCGTAGAGTTTCCTCGTTGCTGTCATTTGCCGCAAAACATCTGAAAACACTAGAAGATTTTTCCTGGTACATTAAAATATGCATATACTAACCATTGGTCTCTAAAGATTGCTTGAAATCAGAAATAAGTAAAAGTAACAAACGAACTGCTATCTAACTACAAACTCGCTTGTAGACGCGACAGGCACTCGATCGTGTTACATAAAAAAACCCGAGCTATGGAACTGGATCAAACTGGCCGACATTCTTTAGATAATTTTCAATTTTAACGCGCTTCTTTCTTTGTCTGTTTTATATGTTCCATCGTCGCTATTCGAACTACCGACCACTAAATTCTGCACGGGATAATCGCATAATTTGTCAAACAGAAAAACACGTCATTTCTTGAGAGGCTGTCGCGCATATTGCACGCGTTGGCGAAAGGTTACCAAGGTTACAAATCCAATTTCGGATTTCACGTTCCTTTCGACCGCGAAATCTGGCAAATCTAGGATCCAAAATCCGTTTTTGGATTCGCCGAAAGGAACACACCCATATTGTTAATCGTATGTGAAAACACGTTTTTTCACTTGTGGAAACAGGTTTTGCCTTCACAAAAGGGTAAACTGACGGACGGTGAAAAACTCTGAAACTCTCTGGGAAAGGCCTTTTCCTGGGGACACTCGCTGGCTGCGGGAAGGCACGGGATCTCTTACGCCTGCTGAATACCCTTGAGACAATGATTACAACAGAACTTGCCTCCAATGTAGAGGTTTAATCCAAGACTATGCTGCGGGTACAGTCAAAACATAACCAACCAAAATTTAACCAAGACTAGATGCAACGACGATGTAACCAGGACGTAACCAGACTAGATGGACCTGGATGTAACCGAAGAAGCTCCTACAAAGCACTCGTATTTAAGCCTTACCTAGCGAAACGATACAGATCTTAGTACATCACAACTCAACGAGTCAATTTACAGAGCACAACAATCATTTCTACAAGACAATTGGTGGAAAGCTAAGCTTACTTTGAAACATTAATTACTTTCAAAAGCTACACAGGTGGATAACGGCTTCTTACAGGTTGATTACAGTTTGAAGACTAAATACAATTATGACTTGACAAATAAGTTTACGCTCAATAAATCAACAGGTTGTTTACGGCTTAAAGAAGTTAAGACTAAAGAATAAATGATTTCTACATTGGCTTTTCATATTTTTATCAGCGAAAGCAAAATAACTGAATAACAATAAATCCTCTCTTCACACGTAAATGACGTCCTTTACGATTAATAACTACAAAGTACAACTTTGAAAGTACAGCTGAAAAAACCGCTCTTTACGATTAATAAGTACAAAGCCCGCCTTTTGCAGTTATTAACCTGGCAGATTTCACTGCAAAAAAATAAAAACACTACAAAAAAATAGCGACACCTGTTTTAAAGAGATGCTATAGCTAGACGTCACTTAAAAGACATATAGTTTAAAATAAAACAAAACTGAATGCAGGGCTGGCACTACGGCAAAGGGCTGATTTATTATAGGCCAATATTTCGGCTAACAAAATTAGCCTTCCTCAGGGCCAGAGCTATACCGGGGGCTCTGGCCCTATAGTGACAGAATTATTTTCAACTTCAATATCTCCCCACTGAAGTATCTTACTCTTATCTCTTACTCTGAAACCGAAATGCAAAGACAGCACTTACTTCAAACTGTCTGAACTGTGCGGAGCTGGAGAACTTCTGGGTCAGGGTCATTTTCTCCGAAGCTACCTGTTTGACGATACAATAATTCTTGTTCTTTTTATATAATTAGTTAAAAGCTCTCAGTCCAACAGGATTATGTGCAGATAGGAAAGTAATATACTGAACAGCTAGCAAGGTATTCTATAATTAAGCTTTAAATGGTAGAAATTCTAAAAAGTGCGTCGAAGGTGTTTAATCTTCAGGGACACCGAACGAGAATATAGTTCAAAACCACTTTAACATAACATTGTTAAACGTATTTTAGTATTTAAAGCGATAGATATAGGCATATTTTTATTCCCCCAAAATTTTTCATCTGTTCGGATTTCCTAGCTGAAAGTCTAGTGATCCGAAAATTATAGGGATCAAAACTTACCTTTTCGAAAATTCCAGCCAGAAAAAAGGCTCCCGAAAATTCTAGGTGACCTTTTTAGGGTAAAAATCCGTTAAAAATAGACAATTAGACTATGTTTTAGATGTTAGAAAATCCTAGGAGAGGCAGGCAAGCAAGAAATTTTGCACCAACTGTTACGAAAATGCTAGATCTCAAATGGTCTTCCGAACAGATATTTTCCGAAAATTGTCGTTGGGTGCCCCTGAATCTTCTGTTATAACATTGTATCAGACAGTTTATTGTTGACTTTCTTTCACGGCAAGGGTAAAATCTGCATTCAAACTTAGTCAAAACGCTATAATAATGTGATCATACAATACTAGGCATGAAGTGCTCTTGGACTTGTGTATGTCACTCCTTTTAAAGCAACAATGGATCCGGAGTCTAATTGTAACAGTTCAGTAAACGACTACTCATTTATCTTTGTTTACGAGCCTTGATTGAATAAGTAAGTTTTATATATCCTACTAGACTTACTACTAAGTGATGCATCCCAGCGCAAATCAATTTGATTCGGCCAAGATCTAAACTGTATCTGATTTCCGCGTTATTTTTTTAAAAATTTGCACAAATGCAGAGCGAAATGTTTCGTTGAAGCATGTGTAAATAATGGGGTTAACTGCTGAATTGCTCACGGGCAAGACGTAGACGAAAGTCACGACTATGGCCGATTTAAGCCGGGTCGGAATATGGGTTGGCGAGAAACAGTATGGGCAGTAATTGAATGTGAGATATATGACAAAAAACGGAAACCATGAGAAGATGAAGACCCCTAATACAATGGCGATTGTCTTGGTTGCTTTAAGCTGTCTCATGGACTGCAACCTTGTCGATTTTGTAGGCCTGTGACTGTCACCTAAGGGATCAACGCATCGGTTAATACCTATCGAAATGTCCTTCGAGGGCGTGGCGGGAGTTCCGGTGGTATCAGCTTTGTTTGTGCCTCGCTTAGAAGTGAAGCTGACAGCTTTAGCATCTTTATCCTTCTGCACCTGCCGTGCGCGGCCAATGGCGATCTTGAGTATGCAGGCGTAGTTGAAAAGCAAAACAGCGACGGGAACAAAAAAAACCGCAAACGCCACGATGGTGAAGTAAGCCCTGCTTACATGGGCACACTGCGGCATAATGACGACCATTTCCCTTCCGCTCCATTTCACAAAGCCAAGAAAGGCAACCAGGAGTGCGGAGATCCATACAAGACGAATCATCAAAAAGGCTCGCTTAGACGTCATTTTTGTACGGTGTCTGAGTGGCCATTTCACCGCCATCAAACGCTCGATGCTGATGCTAACAAGGTTAAAAATGGAAGCGGCAGAGCAGAGCGTATCGATCCATATCCAAAAACGACAGCCAGCATAACCCAGGCTTTCAGGAAACCTTTCGCCATTGACAGTCTGTGCGATCCTGAACGGAAGCGAAAAAGCACCCACTAGCAGATCGCTGACGGCCAGTGAAACAATCAGGTAGTTAGTCGGCTTTCGAAGTCGAGGAAAATAATACACACTGAAACACACAAGGCTGTTTCCTACCAGTGTTAGTAGTAAAATGAGCGTGTTAAAAGTCGCTGAGGCGACGATGGAGGCAAAAGGTACAACTCTGACAGAACTGTTTCCAGACATCCTTTCAGTATCGATTTATATGATCCTTCCACGGTCCACTTGGGTTGCTGCTGAGAAAAACGATTGTTTTAATGTTATGTTCTTTTTTTAACTTTTAAACTACTTTAAGTTAGAAAAAAAAATACTACCATACGGCCCTCCGTTGAAGAGGTCAGTTATAAATGGTCCGCAAGCATGCCATGCGCATTTTGTAAAGACCTACCCTGTGTACAGACCCCGCCCCCCTCCGCCTCCTCTCAGAAAAAATCGTAGAAGGGGCGTCTGTGATTCACCGTCGCTAATCGTGTATGGCAATAACTTTAGATAAATTAAAAAATAATAATAATCTCCGCAGACCGAATTTCCGTGGCTCATGTTTCATGTAATTCAAGTTCTCAAAATGTAGGTCTTATTTCCATAGAGCAATTGAGAAACTGAAACATATTTAAAATCGGTTTACTCTATACCGAGAAACATAAATGTTCTTGCAAGCCCTTATTAAGGGAAAAGATCCATGTTCTTATGCAAGCCTTCCCACTGGATACGGAAAGTCATTAGTTTGAAATAAAGTGTTTACAGGTCAGACGCAACTCGTGAGCACGTGATAGTGTGAAACGTGACCTTAGCGTTCGCTTGAGCAAGTTTTTTTCCTTCTTTTCTTTCTAGCGCGTAGATTATGCACCGTAGTGCATGGAGTACCATAAACTTTGACTGAACAAGTCTTTTTTTTGCCTTTGATTCTTGAATTTAGAAGTCATTAAGCTGGTGTATATTTAATATACTGGTATACTGAACTTATTTAACATTTCCCCCTATAAATCTCTGTAAGTTATCTTGCAGTCTGCACAAACTTCCCGGTGCGCGTTGTGTATTCATCGCTAAATGATACAACAGATAATAGACGTTACGACTGTATTTAAAACTTATTCCAAAAAGGCGGACCCTTTTTGCAACGTTACGAGTCTGTCGATAGACTGTAATCGAAAACTCTCGGTGCGGGAAGAAATTTAATGAATCAACAGCTTAGTTTTACAATACATGTCCGCTAAGCTTTTGTGATATATGTAACTTAGCCTTAGATCGTCCCGGCAGTGTTCATAGCGTAGTGATAGTAGCCCGCAAGAGCCGCCTACGATAAACATGCCCTTCCCCCTCGATGGAGTAAATGCCTAGGTGACATGTGGCTGACTAATGGCCTACAAGACATCAACTAATAACACAACTAAAGTTCCCTCAGAATAACAACTAATCATTGACTAGATTTTGTCAGGTAACACGTGCTCCAGATATTTGTTACCTGAGATTTTCGCCCGCGCGCCCTCGAGGTCTAAAGCTACGTCCCCTGGTCCGTCCCCTGGTTTCCTGAAGCAGGGGTGAGGTGGCTCTGCTGGGCGCTCTTTGAACGAGTTCCTTCTGACCAGAGTGTTCGAGTAGTCAAACTCCGGTAACTGTACCTCCATCCGTGGTAGCTCAGTGACGGTCTGCATCGGGGTTAGGCGGTTCTTGTTGACTGGTATCTGGCCTCGGCTTCCAGCTGCCTGTTTCCTCAGAAGTCAGGTAGTCTACCTTCTTAAAATGTGCCATTGATCTGCCATTTCTCCGCTTGGCAACCACTTGTGTTCCCTTTCGGACCTCTAGGGACTCTCTGTGAAAAGGTGGTGTGGTTTTGGTGCTGGGTTATTGTTTTAGAAGTACTGCATCCCTGACCTGGATGTCCGATGTTTTCTCGCCCTTCGTTCCTTCAGCCTGCGCCTTCATTTGCATTTTCTTCTCTTGGTCGCGATGGACCAGTTCCTCAAAATCCCAGCCCCAGCAGGCAACCTCGTGCGGAACTTGCGTCCAGGGAACATCAGTTCAGCAAGGGCCATCTTGGTGGTCCTATGTGGAGTCACTCAATAACCGAATAGAAATTGGGGTACCTCTTGCTGGAAGACTTGCCCTGTTATTTGGCATATGTGGTAGAGCTTCTTAATCGCCTGTTAAACCCTTCTGCTTCAGTATTGGCCAGCGGGTTTTTGGTTGTCTTGCGCACCTGCTTGAAGCCCAGGTACTTGCTGAAGTTCAGGAAGGTCTGTTCGTCGAGTGGAGGCCCACTGTCACTACCCAAGACCATGGGTATTCCAAGCAGTGAAAATACGCGGTTCAGCTTTGGTATTACTGCTCAGGCACTGGTGCAGCTTACAAATTCTACTTTAGCTCACCGTGAGTGTTGGGTGGGCATATAGGACGCATAAAAGTCAATAGGAACTATTTTTTCATTTTCTAGTCGTTTGAACTCAAACTTTGCAGGATGGTAGAACTTTTACAAACAAATGGTATGTTTTTGTTTTTTCGATTTTAACGTTTTTTGGCGGGAAAATGACGTCACAAGATTGGCACAAAATCAAAATTTCAAGACATGGCAAAACAAATAAATAATTTAAAAAGAGCATGACGCGATAGAATAAAACGCATAAATTGCGTTCACAACTGCGAGGATCATTCTTCATTTGATTTCATTTCTGCAGTCCTTATACGATTTATATCATATACATATATCACATTCATTTCTTTAACGGCCAACATATCGTCCGGTGAATGGGAGATGCGGTGGCCGTGTTTGTATTTATTTACGAAACAAGATAAATTATCATATACGGCATGACAGGTCATACGGCATGACTTAAGTGATAATGTATCGGTCAAATCGAAGCTTCATCATGCCCCCTCGGGCATTCCCCGGGCATTTGACACCTTTGCTGTCCAGGGGAGGAGGGAATTTGATCATCAAAGTCTTCCAGGGGGTGGGGAATTTGATCCAAGGCTTTGGGGTGGGGAATTTGACCTCCACCCTCTATTTCATGTAAAATCTTTGGCGTGGCGAGCTATCATGGGGGACGCGGTGTTAGAGGATTTTCGTGGAAAAGATTGTGCCTTTGTGGCCAATTGGTTGCGAGGAAAGGGCTTAAACAAGCTTTGTGCCGTATTTGAAGTATTTAAATTTTAAAATTTTTAATATTGGATTCAGGCTTTGAATGTATGAATGTATTTTATTGTTGTGTTTACAATGAAGTACAATACCTATACCGGCGATTCAGTACAACAACATAAAATAAAATAAAATAAAATAAAAAGGTCAACTACTTTGACCTACTGCAGGTATGTTAATTAATAAGGTGAGCGATGATGCATGTCAGTGAAATGGTCATGATGTAGTAATCTCAATAGGTGGGATCTTTTTTTATAGAACGCTTTGTATGTTGCATGACGAAGAAAAGCTGAGCATTCAGTGACCTTGTAGCAGCGATTTCCGCCGCTTTGCACGAGACTTTTGTTCGTAGTAAATACGCTAACAGTGTTGCTCAGTTTTTGTTATATTTATAAAGATTTTGTTCGAGAACTGAAGGCGTTTCCGCCGTCCTTCTGTCATTTTTGTGCCCGTGAAATGTCCCCGGGGTGTGGGCATTTGATCACCTGAATGGACCCTAGTGTGGGGCGTTTGAACGGCATTTTGCCCGGGTAGGGGGGAATTTGAACAATAATTTTCCCAAAAGTCAAATACCTGGGGGGTTGCCCCGGGGGGGGGCTTGTTGAAGCTTCGATTTGACCGATACATAACCAAATCGAATGCCTTGTTAGCGAAATTACTAGACCGCATTGTAGACCCTTTATAGACCCTGAATAATGAATAATGAATAACGGGGTTTAAAAGAAAATGAATAATGAACATTTGGAGTTAGAAAATCGGGAATTATGAATAACACCATCTAGCCTCGGAATAATCAATAACTTATAGCTGCTAAATGATCCCATAAAAACGGATGACGGAAGAAACAATTATTTCAACTTTTCTGCCAATCGTAAACATTGGAATCCGCGCGAAATCAGTGAAATCCAAAGCGGCAAACCCCGAAATAAAACTCCTAAAAATCAGCGTTCTTTTCCTACAGCCAATCCGATACCACGTAATTGGCAGCCTGCAAAGTTGCATGTCAGTCACTTGAGATGTCTGACCTTTGGTTCCCGTCTTTAATAGTTCGATGTGTCGTGTGTCTACAGTTTACGCCCACCGTATTTTCACATGATTGGGTCGCTTTTCTAAAATCCGCTTCTTCATTCGACTTTGAAAAATGGGAAAAAAGAAGTCAGAGAATGAAGAGAAATTGTCATCGACGGCAGGTCTATTTGTCATTCTTGACAATGTTTCCACCTAGCGTTCCTGGTCACCTGAAAATTGACGTTTAATGCACAATCAGAGCAGGTCAGTACAAACGTACCGTTCTTTTAATCAGCTTATTAGTAATCATTTAAAAGATTTTACACTCGATGATATTCAAACAATCAATTTCTTACCGTTTTGTCTTTATTATATGGTTCTGTCCAGATCGAGATCACCGAAAAGGCGTCATTAAGGTTTTGACTGCGAGTAGTCTCTTATTTTTCTTTTGGACACGGGTAGAATGCGAGTACGCGCGAGCGGCGAAGCCGCGAGAAACGAGGGATGACTGATATATTTTTCGCCATATATTGGTGTTCTTGTGTTAGTGTTTCTTTTATCTTCAGCATTATTCCATAATCATCAGATTCTGATAGCGTCACTGTCCTTTTTTTCCTTAAACACTGTACCTTATTACCGACAACACTGGAGATGGATAAAATAAACACCTGAACAAAATGTCAAGCGGAAAATGCTGGAAACGGCATTTCCGAGGCCCTAAATTAAAACATTTTCTGGGGGAGCATGCCCCCAGACCTCCCTGTAGGTTAGGCCACCTTCGGCGCTACAACCAGTTTCCCCACTTGCGTACACCCTCAAAATCTCACGCTACGTCGACCCTGAACAGTTCCTGTAAAACGGCTTAAACATTGTCGTGACAGTTATGTTTTCAGTCCCACACTACACTTCTGTGGTATGTCACACGGCCTCCACGTCGGCTCTCATCAGTTGTTTGCGAATGGTGGAACAAATGTTGATATCCTTTGACAGAGGCTCAAGATGAAACTAAAATAAAAGCCTGCCCCCTAATAATTAAGATAGTCGATTCTATTACTTTAGTTATAGAGGCAACTGTCTAAAAAGTTGCAATATAAGAATCTTCCATTGTAATGTTCGGCAATGTTTGGACAATAATGACTCAGCGTAACGGGTTGCAATGAAACCCGGACTAGACAGGTCCTAAAATCCGACCGAGTGAGTAACCTGGTAGGTGGTGCAAGTGCAGGTACAGGTGCAGGTGGTGCAGGTTCCGTGCAAGCAAGCAGCCTATCCTACCCGACTTGTGAACCATAGCCTGCGAGCAAGCTCCCCTATTTGGGCGAGTGAAGCGAGTCTCGCGAGAACGCGCGAACGAGCGACGAAGCCACGAGGGGCCTTGGCCCCTCGCTCGCGCGTTCTCGCGAGGCTCTCTTCGCTTGCCCAAACAGGAGAGCTTGCTCGCAGATTATGTGAACCAAATCGATTACGTACGATTACGATTATGAAAAGTGTTCGCTTCAGCTATAGTTTGTTAGTTAGTTGTTATGTTTTAGTACGTAAGGTTAAATTAAGCTGCTGTTGTTTAGTCCTTCACGTTCTAGTAATTGCATAGACGGTCTATTGATCGAAAACAAGAGACTATAAAGGGGACAGAGAGGCCATCCCCCATATACACCCTATTCCATAGGTAATTTGTCTCGAGTTATTTTTAACACCACAGATCTCAAGGGGGATTAGACAACAGCCAATCACATAGCGCCAATGTGTTCCGCGTGGATGACCCACGCTGTGAGCCACGCGTCCTTCACGAAATGACGCAGAACAAAATGGGGGAAGACGCGGGAGCGATTTTGCTATTCCTTTTGTCGACGAAAACGACTTCAGCGAGATTTCTGCGAAAGCTGTGATAGCGAAACCGAAATTAAAAAAGAATCGCCCTTCCTCTCTTGTATAGAGCTAACAGTAGAGCAGGGAAATCCTTAACACACTGAATATTCTCTCACGATCATTTATAATTTACAGTTTGAAGAGAGCAATTTCTGGTTTGATGTTTATTTTTTTCAGTCTTTATAGTTCAAGCTCAGAAAGAGAAATAAAATTTCGTCGTTGCTTATTTACGTCCTCCATAAAACGCGAAATTAGGCATTTTCACGTCGTAGTCGTGCAAAAACGGGAAAGAAATGAACAAAAAAAGTGTGTTGCACGTGCGAAGTTGTTGTTTTGCTAATTAAACCTATTGTTTTTTTGATGTTCTAGTT